CTGAAAATGTATTTGTTTTTTTAACGAAAAATTTGCTGCATCGGTTTAATAGTTAAATATATGCTTATTGATAGCTACACACGTTTAAGTATTCATGTGAGACTTAGTTGCCACACACAGATTCTTGTTGCTGCAGCTAAATTGTCTTTTCCGCGAGCTCGTATTACGTGCTCGTGTATTTTTCTTTCATCTTTTCTCTCTCTCTCTCTCTCTCTCTCTCTCTCTCTCTCTCTCTCTCTTTCTCTCGAAATGACGTTCATGTGGCTTTTCGCTAATTAGCATCTCGATTCCCGATTTGTACCGTAGCATTTGCAAAGACACAAACGGAACGAATGCGCGATACCGCCGGCCACAATACGCCCCCGTCGTCGACGGAATAACGATTCTCGGATCGCTACTAAAATGAATGGTTGGTTGATACATCGGCAACATGCGGGTGTCAAAAGCGGCCGGCGGATACGACGTGTAACTATACGTATAACCGTCATAAATACCGAAAGCGCGAAAAGGCGGAATGCCGATTCGCTTCGCGATGACGAAGCGATATAAACGTTTCCGCTCCGCGCTACGAGATGCTACGAGAGACATTAATCTATCGAGCATTCCGCGAAGTTCGCATTAGCGACGCGGGTGTTACGGATTCATCGCCAATAACACCGCCAACGCGTCGCTGACCCGTTTCGCGCGGAAGTGAAAGAAATTGCAGAAATAACTCTTATCCACACATGGTTGTGTCACGTTTGCGGTAAATTTTTATTCCTTCAACGTTTCCACCCTCTGTCTATCTCTGCCAGAGGCTAGGCGAATGCTAGGCGAATTAAGATTACTTTCGAAATAATAAATACGCGTGATGCGTGCGCGCTGGAGGGCTCTCGAGTGGAGTCTCGCAACGAGAGGTCGTCGTCGGTCTTGCCGATGCAACAATTAAACGTCGAGCTATTTTAACGCCTACTTAACTTATTTTCACAGCGCAGTCATCAATATTTCCGCCGGCAGTTTCGCCGATAAGTACATGTAAAAACATATTTCACGTCCGAACGCGATGTCGCGCGACGACAATAAACACATCCGGAATTTTCATTAATAATACTTTGGCAGGTGCGTGTTTCGCGCGTAAACAAAACGACGCGCCGTGTACGAGGTGGATTTTGTGTGACGGGTTGAAAGGCACAAACATTATTCGAGATTTTTACGTTTATTTCGTAAGTGTATTCGCATTCGCACGACTCAATCCTAGGTATTGTGGTAATGGTATAATAATAATAATAATAATAATAATAATAATAATAATAATAATATTAATATATAGCAATACGTTTTGCATATATATATATATATATATATATATATATATATATATATATAG